AGCTCCACCCTCCCTCCCTCCCCTTTTTGTACTTGTGTTTCTGTTTTATTGGTGGTGGTGATTTGCTCTCATTTTATGTGTGTTCCTGGAACTCACGGAACTTTCAGTAGGTCACAGGGTGTGAGCACGCTTTCTAGCGCTCAGATTTCCTTGGGGGCCTTCTGAAAAGGACAGGTGCGCCCGCAGTCCACTCAGGCTCAGTTGTAATTAATCTAGGGATGGCGTTTGTTTAGCACCTATTTTTATAGAATGGGAAATCTCTTTATTTGGAAACTGGGTTGTTTAGAAAGACCATGTGTAATGAAATGAAGTCGAGGAAAAAGCAGCTCTAAGGATTCGCAGGATGAGGCCGGGAGTACTTAGGTATTTCAAGTGTGTCGCACACGCCCAGTGATTCCAGCAGGTGTTGTCTGCTTGGAAATTATATTTCAGAGTAACGGAAACTTATTTTTAAGAAGTCAGTGTAATTACAGTTGACTTGAACAGTGCAGGGGTTAGGCATGCTGACCCTCTGTGCGGCTGAAAATCTGCCTGTTAGAACCCGTGGTCAGCCCTTCGTGTCTGTGGCTCCTCTGCGTCTGGATTCAACCGGCTGCAGGGCGTGCCGCGCGGCAGTGCTCACTGCGGAGAAACATCCTTGCACGAGTGGAGCCACACAGTTCAAGCTTCTGGTTATTCGAAGGTTGACTGTGTTTGGTGTTTTCCTGCCCTTTCCTTTTCGTCCTTAACCTCGTCACATAATTATCGCTGTAATTAAATATGAGCAAAAGTAACTTCTGGTTGTGGTTTTCAAAATTGTTTACACGTCTAGACCTTAGGGGTCAGCACGCTTTTTGTAAATTAAGTTTTATTGGCACACAGCCCCGTTCATTTTTGTGTCACCTCTGGCTGCCGTCATGTGACAGCAACAGAGCTGAGTAGTTGATATGGAGACCATACGCTCTCGAGCCGAACATTTATTGTCTGGCCATAGAAGGAAAAGTTTGCTGACCCTTGGTGTCAAAAGTCCAGGTGAATTCAGGATATTAGAAACATTTAAAAATTTAAATAGTCATGTAAGTTAGTGTATAATCTAAAAATTGACTCAATTCTTCTCCCCCACCCTTTAAATACAGACGATTCACCTCCAGCAGAAAGGGAGCCAGGAGAAGTTGTGGACAGCCTGGTAGGCAAGCAAGTGGAATATGCCAAAGAGGACGGCTCCAAGAGGACTGGCATGGTCATTCACCAAGTAGAGGCCAAACCGTCTGTCTATTTCATCAAGTTTGATGATGACTTCCACATTTATGTCTACGATTTGGTGAAAACATCTTAGATGTCATCATGAACTTTGCCAAATTTGTGGAACTATTAAATGTATAATTTGTAGACATAAAGACTTGATTGCTTTCCAATTTAATGAAAGCTTAAATGTCCCTGCGAACCCACAATCTCTGCCAGCAGAACTGGTTTTGTTCTGAACAGTACAGATTTATGTGAACACAAAGCATTTTGTGTAAGGAACTCCTTCCTCTTCAAGGAAGTCTGTCTGTTTGGAAGGGAGTTACAGGCAAGTCTGGTAAAAGTTAAGCTAGTGTCATAGTCATTTAAACCTGTAACAGATCTCACCCACTCTCCCCTCACTCTTAACTCTTATTCTGCTGCCACAATGCAAGCATAGTTTGGTATTTTTGTTAATTGCCTTTTTTGAATATATGTATCTATATCTACCTACCTATCTATATCTGTGTGTATACATATATAATATAAATATATATATACACATACACATAGATCTGTGTACACACACACACACACACACACACACTTCATCGGCAGTCCTTTC